CTGTGCTCAAGAAAAAACACTTTGAATTACACTTGAATACATGCACAGAGTCTCTCTTTGCTGTAGACTAAATCACTGTAAACCACTTTTTCCCCAATCCCCCCCCAAATGGCTTTGCCTCAGAATTGGACCCCTTTTCTTTCTTTATTCTTTTTCTTTTTAAAATTTTTAAGCGGATAAAGAGGTGTTGTTCACCATTTCAGCAGGAGCTGTGTTTTTAATTTCTTCCTCTCATTCCAAGGTACAGATCAAGCAAGCGCTTTGCGTCACACCACATCTGAATCCATTCTACACTTGTTTGTTCTTTCCATGTCTCATTTACATTAACATACCCACACACTGAAAAAGACTCCCTGGGTTGCTAAACCCCCTCAAAGACCACATCACTCGATCCTAGGATCACCATTGTGTGCATGTGAGAGAGGCAAGGTACATCTGGCGAAGCAGGTTTCAAGTATCACACGTAACGACAATGACATTCGAGGATGGCATTAAGAGTCAGTGCATCCGTGTGCGTGCATGTGCATGGGTTTGTGCGTGATTGTACAAGATATCAAATATCAGCCAGTTATGCAGCAATCACCCTCTCTCTCTCTCTATCTCTCTCTTATCATACAGGATTTGTGAGTTTCTTATTTTATCTCTTGTTATGTCAGCTTTGATGGTTAGATGACCTGTCTATCTTTGAGTGCTGTTTACTCTATGTAATTCTGGTAATGATCTCTTTAGATGATAACAGAAATACCAAGATGTAGACCCTAATGGATCTTATTACATCTTACTTGCATATGCCATCATAAAGTATTCAGGGAAGTTTTTTGAAAAATGCTTTTGTTTGTTCACCCATACAACCACACACACATGCAATGCGGAGGCATTTAATATCAACCAAGCGTGAAAAAGAAACGTTTCAATCAACACCTTTTGATAGCATGCACTCAACATACACCATGTTTTTTTTCCACAAATCGTCCTTGCATACAGTATTGTGCTGATACTGTAATACAGGTGTATTAGATGGAAACAGTATAAGAAAGTTGTAGCTTATTCTTTATTGTTACTATTTTGCACATTTAAAATAATAGTTAAGCCATCAAAGCTATAAAATAACTAGGGGTGTAACGATACCCTCATGTCATGATTCGATACATATCACGATACTGAACTTGCGATACTCCAAGACATATGATAAAAGGTTAACAAAAAATTTACTTTTGATTTAAATGCTCAATTTAATATTACATTGTTGGTTTAAATGAATAGGTTTGGACTTGGTTCTTGTTACCCAAGGACAATGGTGACACCAGAATTAAAATATTCATGATGCTGAAGCTGAAACAGAATTATTTTAGACGAATATGCTTGCACTCTTTCACTGACTAGATAGATTTAAAATAATGTGGGACACTTTTACTGCCAACATCAGACATTTGGCATTATCGGGACCCACATATATTCCCCCATTGTATAATTATACATCATAATCAACATTATATATAGTAGTTTAATGTAGTACTGACACTAAAACTCTGAAAACTATTTTGGGGGGACTATCCACGATAGACTAGGCACAATATATTGTTACACCCCTAAAAATAACACAAATGTAATTATGGGAAATATATACTTACCAAGTATATCTGGGAAGTATATTAATTAGTGGCCAGTAACATTTTTATGAATATGAACAAGGCTTTGTCACAGACAAATTCATACAAAATTATCAAAAAAATTAGCAAGTTCTTCTGTTTATTACAAGCAAAACTTGTAGTTGCCCGTCATTGGAAAAACACAGAAATCCCTAATTTTAAACAATGGTTACAGCAATTGTCATGTTGTTTGGCTTTGGAGAAACTCACATTTATTGTTAAAGGAACATCTGGAAAGTTTTTCAAAGTATGGAACCCCTTTATAGAATTTTTAAAGGAATCTGAACCAAATAGTTTATTTTCGGTGTAACCAGGAATAATAAGTTGTTATTAATGTACCATTGTCTTGACATTTGTATAGTATAGATGTTGTCGTTGTTATTTTAATTATTATTTTTTATTTTATTTATTTAATTTTTATTTTTCTTTCTGTGCTTGTTTTAATGTAAATGTTTCTAAAATCAATAAATACAATGTTGAAAAAAATAGCAAGTTTGTTAGTAAACATTGTCGGTTATGTCTTAAGTATCGTAAACAGTTGAGAAAGTAAACAACATTCGCTCTTAAAGTGACAGCAGCCTAACATTCCTGCTGCTGATGTTTTTTTTACTTAAATTTCTGTACCTGAGAATTGTGAATTTTGTGGTAAAAAATCTTCTTCTTTATTTAATATTTACATTTTTAAATATTACATATAAGAGATTAGATAAAATAATTTATTTTTGTAAATACATACAGTACATATATTGCACTAGCATCGAATGGTTACCATATTCATATACCATGGTATTTCCATGTTACTCAAAAATAACTTTTGAATTTTCATTGTGCATGTCCAAAATAAACAATGACAAAGTAATCCTGATGCTTTGTGGGTAGTACATTGTAATTTGTAAAACTCAAACAACGACAAGCACGAAAACAAAAGGTCAAAACAATTTTAATAGGCAGCTGCAATAAATAAATAAAAAAACTTGACCGAACATGTTGATGGACTAAATGATGTATGATGTAGACAAACTGAGCAACACTGCAAAACGCTTAGACTCTCTAATTACTATAGCGTAGTCAAATGTGTAGCCAGCTAGTTATTTAATCTGCTAAGCTAACACAGCTCAGATCTTTCCCTTTTTTACAGATCTTTCCAGTGCACCAGCAATGCGTCATTGCCTTTGGGATTATTGCAACCGATACAGAGGTTTGAATATCTAAGCCAACACATGTCTAATACAGTGAGAGGGAGTGTTTTGATGTCAGTAGCCGGGGGTCATTGCCTGGTGTGTGTCGGTGGCAGCTGACGGATGGAGGTTGTGGCAGTTAGGACACCCGGTGCTCTGGGCACCAAAAATGATGCGCTTTCAGTCGAGCAATGATGTAATCTCCTGCTGACACGCAAGTGTTTAGATTATCCACACTATGCACACATGTACACATAGACTTTTTATTTGCAAGCTGCGGTCTTTATAGATCTCATGGTCAGCCACAAGTTTGTGCTACTGTAGCACATTAAGGCTTTCACAGTGTATTGCATACACTAAGCATCAGGAAAGACATAAATAAATATAAACTTTGGCTGGCCCTTTTTTATTTAGACCAGAGTCAACATTTTGACATCATGTTGTGAGTTCATCCAGTGAGGTCATTAAGAATCTCTTAGAGGATGGTTATGTCATCTTCTTTGCCTAAATAAAGCCAGACCATATTTAAAGTCACAGGCTGCACTCAAAATCATATTCTTCCCTACTCTATAGTTGGTGAAAAACAGTATGTGACAAAAGAAGCAATTCAGAAAAACTCATAAATACATGTAGCTGGCAAAAACTACCCGGGTGACTTGCTACTTCCGGCGAGATTCTGAAGTGTGCATACAATGGACACTTTACTATCCTATGAGGCCACGGGAGAGGATTTATGAATGGCATTGAAGTGACGCAACTGAAACTGATAGGTCACATGATACTGTATTTAGTATGTCCGGATTCCATTAATACTACACACATTCATAATATCTAGAACATCAAAAACTGCCAACTGAAATAGAAAGACTTCTGGCCAACATTCTGAGTGACCAACCAGAGGTTCTTTTTGAGTTGGGTAAATTTGAAATAGGATATAACTCTGACAACAAAGTCAATTCTGCAGGTGTGCTCAGGGGTATGTCCTTTACTTGTTTCTCAAACAAAACTCTTTCTTGAGTACCGGTATGTTTCAGAGATTTGATGTCATCGCAAACTAATTGAACTGTATCCTGTTACCTTGTACAACTTGCATGCAGTAAATTATGATTATAATAGAGGTGTACAATATAAACAAAACTTTATATTATGATATTCTTCCAATTTTGGTTGATATCAATATACTGTATATAACAATATACACATTTCTATGGAAATGTTTTTAGAAAGTACTGAAATTATTGAAATGAAAATGACATGACTGTTTTCTCCAGAGAGATGAACTTTTCTACAACAAAAATTGACCATCACTGAACTTACTTAAGTGTGTGTGTAGTATTAATGGAATCCGGACATACTAAATACAGTATCATGTGACCTATCAGTGTCAGTTGCGTCGCTTCAAAGCCATTCATAAATCCTCTGCCATGGCCTTAAGCTGGACTATGACACTATTTTCTTCTAGATCTGCTGTACACCCGAAACAAACTTTGTTGCATTATTTTCCTGATATCACTGTAAGGCTGCTTTGAAACAATCTGTTTTGTAAAAAGCGCTATATAAATAAATGTGACTTGACTTGACGTGACAGTTCACCCTCAAATAAAAAAAATAATTTATACCCTCAAGTTGTTCCAACCATGAGGTTCTTTCTTCTGCTGAACACAAAAGAAGATATTTTGAAAAATGACAGTCACCATTGACTTCCATAGTATTTTTTTTCCATATTATGGAAGTCAGTGTGGCCCATCAACTGTTTGCACACTTATATTCTTCAAAATATATTCTTTTGTGTTCAGAAGAAGTAAGACATTTTTGAGGGTATAAATGATGACAGAATTTTCACTTTTGCCTGAACTATCCCTTTAAGTGTGTAGTATGATAGAGATTTTTGTAAAGGCTTTTCATCTCGTTTTTTCTTTTTTCCATGTATCTGTGGATAAATCCTCCGTAGATGCAGTGTTGGGCATTAGGACTGATCTCAAACAATGCTGGCTTTACCACGAAACTGGTCTTACGTCATATTATTAAGGCGCTGTTTATGATGAATTGTATTACAAAAAAAAATAAAATAATCAGCTACAAATAAATCTTGGTTGCTTTGATTGCTCTACATCCACTTGTGCAGTTTAAAACTAAGCTTTATCTCTGTTGCTTCTGCTTTTTTGTGTTGCAGATGAGATCTCTAAGATGTGTGAGGTAGATGAGACTCCAGAACCGGTCAGTCCCACGCTGCTCAGCGAGTCCACAGACACTTACTGCCAGTCCGACTGCTGGCACACACTACGAACCACCGTCCGAAAGCTGGAATTCTGGGAGGACTTCAGCGCAGAGCTTATCGGAAGCGGCTTCTTCTCTAAAGTCTACAAGGTAAGGGTTTCCTGTCAATATTGGAGGGTCAAAAACAAATGATGTGTTACCAAAATTGCTAGAATGTCCTAAAGGCATCATGTAAAAATGGACGCAGCTGCTGTGTCGGTGATATTGGCACCGAATCTGATTAGATAATCTGCCCTTTAGCGAAAGTGCACTGATTTAATCAATGTTGTGAAAATGAGGCACAACGAGATCTCAGGCATTCAAGATAAATGTTTTGTTCCAGCACTTGCTGCCTTTCAAGAGCAAAGGTTTTGTTCCATACCAAATTCTGCTGCCAAAAATCTACCATTCATTTCCTCTGGAAGTCACGGCCCTATTAGTCCGGACAACAGAACTGTACAGACATGACGTGTCTGTAGTCTGCCAAAAACAAGCTACATCGTGCAGACGGTTTTAAACCCAACAAAGAAATAGAGGTTAACGTCATGTGCGGTCACCACCCAGCTTAAATGGTCTTGAAAGCCTGCACAAACAAGAAAATAACTAGGTGATTTTTACCTAGTGGATGTAAACCACTTTTTTTACAGTATGCTAACTTTTATTTTCTTGTTTTGCAAAATATTCTCACTCCTGCGTCACTTTTACCTCATGAAAAAAAAAATAAAGGGCATTTTGTTACAAGTAGACCTCACAAAAATGCCAAAAGGGGATTTCCAATGTGTGAAACCTTTTGTGCTTGATATCTTGAGTGAAAGGAAGACTTTGGTGAGGACTAAGCTCACATCAGGGCTTTATAATAGCAAAGTGATTGAACATAGATGATGTGATAGATACTGTGTTTCTGAACATTTGTATTTTATATTTCCCAAGATTTACCAGTATGGTGTCGCCCATAACCCCCATAAACAGCCTCAAACCAGTCTATGGGTGACGTCACAGACGCTTTGTCCATATTTTTTACAGTCTATGGTTTAATATCAGTGCACACAGAGCATGATAAACTGTGGTATATGCCTTGACTTTGACCATTCTCTCACACCACATGCCAAGAAATCATGAATTTATCTTCTCTGTAAAGAACATTGTGTAATAAAGGAAACGTGTGCTGTAAAGGAAGAGGATGACCCCAGGGGAAAATAAGAGGGGTGCTTCTTTTTGTTGTGAATGTGTTGAGACAGAATCTCATTGAAAGAAACTCACAGTCTAGTGAATATGCTGTTGTCTTCTTCTGCTCAGGTGATGCACAGCACTACAAAAAAAGTAATGGTGGTGAAGATCTATAAGACCGACGTGGATCAGAATAGCATTGTAAGGGAGATCAGTCTACTTCAGAAACTCTCCCACCCAAACATAGTGAGGTAAGCGATTAATCACTTCCATCAATCCCACGGCGGCCTGATGCTCATAACTCCCACTCAAAACAACTCTGACTCTAAATAATAAAACCTGACTGGGTTCAAATTTCCTGACTTTTAACTAAAGTAACCAGAGATTGGCTACAATTTAGATGAAAAGCCTTTGAGACTATAATGCCTACAACACAGTCCTTGTTTTAGTTACTAAGCTTTAGTAATGTTTGCTAAAACAAGCATCATTATTAGGACTGCTTGTAAGGATGCATTATATATCTACACTATTTCAGTATATGGCAAGTATTAGAGAGATTAATTCATTGGTGTCAGTCATTATTGGATATTTAAAGGGATAGTTCATTCAAAAAATAAAAATTCTGTCATCACTTACCGTCATGTTGTTCCAAACCTGTGTGAATGTCTATCTTCTGCTGAACAATGAAGAAGATATCTTGAAGAATAACGGTAACCAAACAGTTGATGGACCCCATTGACATCCATTGTATGGAGGGAGAAAAAAAGCTATGGAAATCAATGGAGTCCATCAACTGTTTGGTTACCGACATTCTGCAAAATATCTTCATAAATTAAATGAAATTTATACAGGTTTTAACAACTAAATGATGGCAGAATTTTCACTTTAGGCTGAACTATCCCTTGATATTAAATTCTAATATTTTAATTCAATATATTAACTTCAAATCTTAGTTAGTCTTCAAATCTTAATAACATTGTTAAATATAATCTTTAGCAAATTTCCATATGAATATCAATCTTTCATACTGTACAATGCTGTGATGCATAAATTCTTTCGTAGAATGTGAAACGATTGACTTGCTATTTTTGTTTTATTTTTAATTTATTTCAGCAAAATAGTATTATCAGGCATTTGTTAGTTATTATTCATAATATGAAAATGATGACTGATTTTAATATTTCTATTTGCTCATACTTAAGAGTAAACATTTAACATTTTGTATTCAGGCCATAGAGGCTCGAGATGTTCTCATCCACAACCTGGCAACCACCCAAAACACCCTAGCAACCCAATAGCAACTAAAAACTACTTTAGACCATTTTGCAAGATGTAAACAACATTGGTCCGAGCACTTCCTGTCACTTCCTTAACACTACATAAAAGCTGGGATAAAATACAACCAACAGAACATATAAAACTGAATCAAAAAGTTAAACAAACATCTTTAAGATGTTTTCTTTACATGTGAAATAAAGAAAACAGTTACATACTGAAACAGGAAGTGTTTCTGGACCAGTGTTGTTTACATCTTGCAAAATGGTCTATAGTATCTCCCTTGCATTAAGGCAGCGAGCTTTCTATTGACACTCACATTTGGTTGAAAATGTAAAAATCTAGCTTATTTTGCACTTCTATAATGCTTGAAATTAAGTTTTATTTCACTTATGAGCAAAGTCAGTTTAAAAGGGTTTACACAGATGTATAAAGATTTTTCATAGCTTATAAATGTTCTAAAACTTGTATAATTCCTTATTTCTCAGATGGACATATTAAATTACTCTAATTTTCTTGTTGTAGGTACCTGGGGATCTGTGTCAAGGAGAACAAGCTGTACCCAATTCTCGAGGTGTGTGGCACCTTTTAGGATTTAATTTTCACAATTCAGTGTATCTGGTAGAAGCTTTCTCGATGGGCTGCCCATCAAATCTTATGACACAACCAGTGACTAGCCGCTGTGTGTCTAGAGTATATACTGTAAGTTTCCACAAAGAGAAAGTTTGATTTAACATGCTGTAAAAGTGAGTTGTGTTTTCACTTTATAAATCATGTCAGGATTGTAAGTGTTTTATAATCTCATGTGCTTCCCTCCTCCTCCTCCTCCTCCTCCTCCTCCTAGTATATTAGCGGAGGCTGTCTGGAGGAGCTTCTGGCCAGAGATGATGTCAGCCTCTGCTGGAGGGAGAAGATCGAACTGGGCTGTGATATCAGTCGAGGAATGACCTATCTCCACTACAAGAACATCTACCACAGAGACCTCAACTCTAAGGTGTGTTGGCAGTCTTTAGGGATCAAAGTTTAGCAGTTTATGGCAAAGACATGTTATGAAACATCAGCTTGCAGCGTTCAACCTTGATTTGAAGGCGTGTTCCAAGAACACTCCTTGCAATTATAGATAATGACAGACATTTCTAAAGTCACTCCAATGAAACATGCGCTAATGCGCTAAACACTTATGTTCTATTAACTTGCCTGATTTGACCTGAGTAATGTTTTGGAGAAAATGATTCAGCGAGACCACTTTTTCCAGTGTTTAACTGGTTGTTGGTACACCTTTCTTGTGTCCATTACCTCATTTCCCTTATAACATAGCTGGCTGTTGCAAATACTTTTTTATTGCTTTGGTACTTTTGGTACTTTTTTATTGCTTTGATTTCTGATATTAGTTATGAGATAACCATAATGTTATCTCACATAATCCCATTAAAAGTCAAAGTGAAGATTGGCATACTTACACAGTGACCCAAATGTTGTCTGGATGCTTTAATCACTCTTAAAATCTTTTAAAATAAAATAATGAATTTCGCTGCATTAAAAGTAAACAATATATTAAAGTGACATCTACATTGCATGACGTTTTCTCCAAACTCACCCTTTTTGTTATTTTTACAATTACCTTTTAACCAACTAAAGTGAAGTTAGTTCTAGCAAAAGGTCTAGCATTATTTGCTTGCTGCGCCGCTTGTTGATATTATGTTATCTAAATTTTGCAATGAATTTAATGCATTTGAAGTGTGGTATGTTTGCAAAAATATCTTTTTAACTCTTATTCACATTTGGATACTTTATATTCACATTTGGAACTATAAAAATATTGAATGGCCTTTTGTATAAAATAGTTTTTCAATGTGTAAAACATCGATAATATATTGAATGAAAGGCTTTGGTTAGGTGTGAAAACATATCTGAGATTTACTACGCTTATGGTTTTCATTTGTCCATCATGAACACAATAGCGGAGTGATGGAATGTAGATAGCAAATTGCATGTGACCATTCTCACACCATGGGCTAAGGTATTTCAACATTTTTTTTGTAAAGAACATTGTGTCCTAAAGAAGTACCAGGATTAGCCCAGCCTAAATATGTTTACAGAATACCATGTACATGTGCCGTGAAGGACACAAGCATCAGGAAACCCTGAAACTCTTCCTATGGAAGTCAATGGGACCAGAAACAGTCTGGTTACTGATATTCTTCTAAATATCAGAAAATCGTCTGAATGGATTCGAAAACCCAACTGTTTAACTCTGGGGGAGTTGTAAAATGAGCCTATTTCCAAAAAAAGTGGAGTATCCCTTTAATGCATTCTTGCAGAATAAACTTATTAATTTCTTAGGATCCTGCACCCTTATAAAGTTCTGAGCTGTGAAAAGCAGTCATGGTCTTCTTGACAGATTTAACTGTGTCGGTTGCCAGGCTGCAGTGAGCAGTGAGCACAGGACTGTGTTTGAACAGAGATGAGGAGGTCAGACCTTTATTATGCTAATGCTGTAGGCTACCCAACATTTACCATTTCATAAACACCAGACCTGCGACTGCTTTTCACCTCTTTATTCTTTTCCTTTCTTCTCACTCTATATATAAAATGACATGCTGACTCCCATCCACTTTCAAGCTTTTATCCTCTCACCCTGCTCACACGCACACGGGATCATTTTACTAAAAACAGACATAGCCTTAGCCTTGTTACCTTCAAACAGTTTAATATCGGATTTGAAAATTGTGCTTGCAATGTGTGGGGTTGCTAGGGTGTTGCTATGTGCGTAATAACGGGTTTTGAATGGTTTATCACATATTGCTTCTGTATGTGGTTGCTATGTTTGGAATGGTAGCCTGGGTCCCAGCCAACAAAAATGTTCTACGTACTTTTTGTTAACATTACCATTAAGTCATGAAAACATTATTTCTGGATGTTCTCTAAATGTTTAGAACTTCCTATATTTTTTAAAGGTGGTGAAAGTTGGTCGAACCGACACAACCAGACACAACTACAAACGTGTAGCAAATCGGCATTAGGGGGCGTATGACAGTGGAGGAGAGAAAACGAGCAAGATTTGAAGAAGGACTGTAGAAAGAGAGATGGCTGAGAGACATTACAAAAGTGAAAAGCTCACTGAAAAATGAAGGGCTATGAGAACATTTTAGAAAAGCTTTCCAGCGCTGGACAGAGCTAAGCGGAATGGCCTGAAAAGAGACGCGGAGGTTGCTTTGATTCCGCTCCATGCGTGAATATCACTGGTTTTGAGTATCATTGTTTGTCTAGAGCTGCTGTGCTGTTGGCAACAAAGTCTTGCATTGCATATGTAACTGAGGCCAAATAGTGAGAGTTGTGCAAGCTGATGACTGCTAGAGAACACTGTGTTGCTATCGCGGTTCGCGACCAACTCGGAGCAGGGCGGTTAGGCCTGGAGGGTGAGCTTTGGAGGCGGAGCAATGATGTATTTTTAGGTTGATTTCAAATATCAACAATGTTCAGCAACGACTTTGAGAAATAACATACTGCACCTTTAAATGTTTTAAATACGTTTTTCTTGTTAATGTGAATGTTAAATGTGATCATTTTGTAAACAATATGGGAACATTGTTTGAATGGTCTTTAAACCGTCTGAGACAAAAAAATACAATGTTAGATTAACATCCAACTATAAGGTTTTGGAGAAAAAAATGCATGAAGAATGTATAAATGACATTTTTGTGCTAACATTTTGATAATGTTATTGAAGACTACTTTGAACGAACATTCTATTAGTGTTACTAAAGGAATGTTTGTTCATAACTTTGAGAGAGAACATTGCTAGAATGTTGAGAATGTTCCCTGTTAGATGGGGCATAGCTAGGGGGTTGTCCCGAGGGATTTTTCTTTTTATCATCTGCAAGGCAAACAAAGATAAATCTGATTAGTTAGAGAAGTAATAGCACATCTGACAAGCCACATGATTAGTGATATTTAAATCCATAGCACAAAAATTACTATTATAGTTTACTACAGACTCAGAGTGTAACCCGATACATAATTTTTTATTTAGATTTTTTTTTAAATCAATACACAACATTATGTATGTGTATGCGTTTATCATGATGTTACTATTGACGATTATTACACATCATTTTATTGTTACTAATTATAATTATATTTTCTATCCCCTAACCCTTTGCCTAAACCTATTCCTAACCATGAACACAGACACAAACAACCTCTCCATACCACGCAATCACCCACCACTTCGCACTTCAGTAAGGTTTTTGTGTACTAAAAATATTAATATAATTTATAATTAATATTATTAAGAAATATATATATATATATTTAATTATGACTAAATATAGTTATTATATTTTATATAATCTATTTAATATTATTAGATTATAAAGTATAATTAAATTTAGTCATAATTAAAATAATAATAGTAGAGTCTGGTAGAGTCGACTGATAAAGGATTTTGAAGGCCGATACAAATATTTGTTGTTTTTAAAATCCGATATTCCGATATATCAGCCGATATTTAAAAAAAAAATTATTTCAGAAACGTGCAACAAAACATTAACAGATTTCCCTAACATTAGTTATTTATGAGTTTTAACTAAAATAATATAATGAGCCATAATTTAGCAATGGATTACGAAATACTGCAAATTGTAATACATACATTTTCAATATAACAGGCCAAGGAGAGATGATACGTCTCATTGCTATAACTGTCACACGCTATTAAATAAATACTTCAGTCACATAGTCAAAAGTTAAAAGGACAGTCAGTCAACTACACTGTAACAACATAACGTAATTATTACTAGCTAATTCCGCTTCACTCTCGGCTTATTTAACAGCAGCAAAACTGGACATGATAGTCACAAATTTTGTCATGCTTATTTGAGCTAAGAGAACTGATGGGGATGTTTAGTTCTTTTAATTGTTATTCAAGCAATGTATGTCTCGTGACCAACTCAACGAGTGTTGCCAACAGGGACGGTGTAGAGTGCCCTCTGGTGGACAAACTATACAACTCCAACTCTCATGACATGGTTCCAGCGCGTTTTGTCAATTTTTTATTTTATTTTTGAAATATTCATTTATCGGCCATTATAACTGCCGATACAGTTTGGAAAATGCCTAATATCGGCCAATAATATCGGCCTGCCGATATATCGGTCTGGCTCTAAATAATAGTAATTATAACTAGGCTACTTAATAAACATTTTTCATAAAATGCATTATAAGTCCAATCTGATGTTACAGCTATTAACTTTCTGTTTTAAGATAGGAAGATAGGAACTATAAAGGGATATTTGATGGATTTGATTAGATCAGTCTGATAATGACTGGATCTTTCTTTTGTGAAAGACAACATTTCTTAGTGCTTATCCTAATCCTGTTATAGAGCAATGCTGCCATCTGGTGGTGTAATTCTGTAACTGTGCTTGGTAGTTCTGTTTTGAAAAATAACAAGAGGTCTCTGCAACAGCTACAGTAACTCTGCAGAGCTAATTGAATAGTTTATGATCTTTTCAATGGAACTGAATCAACACTTAACTGACTTTAGCTGAACAATGACACTATTTTCTTTTAGAGCTGAAATGAACTCTGGGCGCATCATTGAATGATCATTATCACTATAAAGATGCTTTGACACAATCTGTTGTATAAAGCATAAATAAAGCTGACTTGATTTGACTTCTACATATCGTTTTGGTAATCTGAGATGGAGAGAAATCTTCGTTGTTGTGTTTTGCTTAACCAATTTCCTACTGCTTTCTTTCCTCATACTGCGAAAGACGTGAGATAAAGATCTCAAACTGTGAGTCATGCAACAAACTTCATGTGTAATCTGTTGTTTTTGTTGATGCAGAACTGTCTGATCCGCGTGACCCCGCGTGGCAGGGAGGCCTTGGTCACTGACTTCGGGCTGGCCAGAGAGGTGGGGGAACTGACCGCAGACGAACCAGACAGGAAGCTGTCTCTGGTGGGCTCGGCCTTCTGGATGGCCCCTGAAATGCTTAGAGGAGAACCGTACGATCGCAAGGTAGCCTACTGACAACCAAATACAAATGACTACTGAAAATGAAAGTGTAGGATATTAGGACATTCATGGTTGAATTGTGTTTTCCCTGAAAACTAAATTAGTATTGATTTACTGACAGATTTCACATTAATCCATATAACCTTTTCCAGTTGCATTGTAATTAAAAATGAACCTTCTGATTTGATGCCAGACTTAATCAGGTCAGGACTGAGGAAAAGTCATCTATAATGCAGTAAACTGTAAGCTGTTTCTTCCTCACTGTCAGGGGTAAAGAGAGAGGCAGTGCTGGTGCTGATGTGATTAGAGACTGAATTCAACTTCTGCTGACTGGCCGTTTTTCCTATTTAATCATAGGTTGATGTTTTTTCTTTCGGGATCATGTTGTGTGAGATCTTAGCAAGAATCCCTGCTGACCCAGAGGTGCTTCCCAGGACACAGGTAAATACTCAAAGCTATCCACCTTCTTGCATACAATGCTTAAAAAATGTGTTCACTTTTTTTGTACAAAATGGCCATCAATGATTAGGGCAAAATTTTAATACAATGTATTTAAAATCAGTATGAGTTTTAAAAAAAAAAGTATATTTATAAAATATAAAAATATATTTAAATAATAAATACATTTAAAAATAAATTAAAAAAATTAATTAAAAAATGTAAAATAAATTCAATAAATATAATAATAATGATAAATTTAAAAAAATAAATAATAAACTGGTTTAAAAGTATTACTTAAACATTGCTATTTTTTAGTATACTGACATCAATAAAAATACTTCAAACATACAGTATATATAAATATATATAAATATAAATATAAATATATATATATATACTGTATGTTTGTAGTATTTTTTATTGATATCAGAATAGTAAAAAACCCAGCAAAAAAGAATACTATTAAACTGTTTTTATTAAATGATAAATTAGTGGAATAAACTTTCACTGCTCCTAGCTTAATGTTTTATTTTGTTTTATATAACTTGTTAAGTAAATATTTTAATAATAAATAGTGCAAAAATGATGAATAAATGTATGATGTATTAGTTGTGCTGCATCCTTATCCACTGCATTCATATCCATCCCACTGTCGTACAGTGTTGCTTATGGGCAAACGAATTAAAGCAATTCCTCATAACATACAAATAATTTATGACTATAAATATTTTAAAATATTTTTTTCAATAAGACATAGACCTAAATTCTCCAGATCACACATATATGTCCTTTAAATGGACTTATTTTAAAATATTTATTTCAAAAGATTTGTCCATAAATGTAAGCAAATGTGTTTTCGTTAAACAGAATGCATAATTTAGTACTTGCATGAGGTCTGGGATGGTTACATATAACCCTTGAGAGAGGCTTGTTATGTTATGAATTAGTATGGTTCTCTTTCCTGCACTGGGGATAAAAGGAAGCTCAGACAGAGTATTTGTCCTCTGGTGTACAGCAGTGTGGTCATTCATTTACGCGTCATTAATGCTGATGGACAACCGATTTTGTCTGGAGCGGAGAGAACAGATAGATATCAAGGGAACCATCGCACTGACATTTAGATTCTTTAGAATGGATTTATTCATTCTGTTCTTCTACCACATCAAGGATAATGATTTTCTGGCCAATCTACTTTCACACTGCATTTGCTAATTTATGTATGAGGCTAAAGACACATGGTTATGGTATATAGTTTGTTTGTAAATTTTGCAATCTTCTGTTGAAATATAGTAGTTTGATAAGTGTTACTTGCAATCTACTGGTAAACCATAGTTTGTAAAGTTTGTCTTGCAAACTTCTGATATAACATAGTTGTAAAGTTTATCTTGCAATCTTCTAGTGAAATATAGTTTGTAAAGTTTTTTTTTTTTTTTTTTTGCAAACTTCTGATATAGTTGTAAAGTTTGTCTTCACAAACTATATTTCACCAGAAGATTGCAAGACAAACTTTACAACTATATCAGAAGTTTGCAAAAAAAAAAAAAAACTTTACAAACAATATTTTACCAGAAGATTGTAAGAAACACTTTACAAACTACAGTATATTTCACTAGAAGATTGCAAGATAAACTTTACAACTATGTTATATCAGAAGTTTGCAAGACAAACTTTACAAACTATGGTTTACCAGTAGATTGCAAGTAACACTTATCAAACTATATTTCACCAGAAGATTGCAAATGTTTCTTACAATCTTCTGGTGAAATATAATGTGTTGGTGCAACAAACCTACAATTTTCTGGTAAGATAGAGATTGTCTTAGACTCATCTGACAACACCACATCTTTTATTATGGAGCATTTCCATGATGTTCTTTCAAAGGAATGAGTGAAAAGAAAATTTACACTGGTAGTTTTTTGTTATGTTTTTTACATCAAAATGTACATCACTCTGTTCACAGGACTATGGGCTAGATGTGGAATCGTTCAGAGAGCTGGTGCATGGTTGCCCAGAGCGGGTTCTGCAGCTGTCGGCCAGCTGTTGCCAGGTATGAAGTGATGTGTTTAATATGCCGTGAATAGCAATAGCACCTGCCAAGTGAGAGATTTCACCTTCAGCATTCACAATGTGGCAGCTCAAATCACCTGGTTAACTGTTTTGAAGATATAACAGCATTTCTTTCTTTCTTTCTTTCTTTCTTCCTTCCTCTCAGATGGATGCATTCCGAAGACCTTCCTTCTCTGAGCTTCTGGATGAGCTGGAGGACATCGCTGAGACCCTAGAGCCACCAGACAACAACCTAACCACAGGGTGATCTTCACAAATCCCTCCTAACAAACCCCTGGACTGAAGGATTTAAGGCACTGCATAAAAGTCAGCAGCAGTGGACCGTGACTGGCACTCTGTTCTCGCAAGAGTAGAACATACAGGGGAATGTCTGGTAATTGAGGACAAAACCACTCAACTCAATGTTCACTCAATAACCAGTTCTGAACGCCCTGCCTGCAGCTGTGACACTGAACGATTGCAAGAGGCTGGAATTGACCTTTTCTGTTTGTTTGTTTTTTTCCAGATAGATGAAAGTAGATGATGGACCAACTTGACGACTTTTTTTTTTTTTTTTTAAAGACCAAATTCAACATTGACCAACCTGTTGATTCCTTGATTAAAGGTTTCAACTTGAGCTTATTTTTTTATAGCTGCAAAAACAGGAAATTTGTTTAAAATAAGTATATAGTAAAGGTTGCTCAAACCTGGAACAAACCAAACTAGAGAAATTAAGGTGTGCTAGATTTAATTTCACCTCTTGCCTTTATTGTGAAAAAAACCATCATCAGTACATTTACTGAACCAAGAAATTGCACAGCTGCTCATTTGAGATGCACTGTTGATGTCACCCATTTTTGCCTGGTTGTGCTTTCCATGTCACTCATTTTCCCAGTGTAAACATCTTTAAGATTAATGGAGCTCTAAAATGTCCAATTAAATTTCTTAAAAATGAGCTCATAGAACAAATTCCACTGTTTACACATGAATACAGTGTATTTCTGAATAAAAATTCAGTTAGTTTAAGGTGTAAGTGCTGAACGATCACACTAAAAATAACAGTGCAAAGCTGTTTTTTTAAATGTAGTAAAGGCTGTGGATGATTATTTTCTCAGGTCACACAGGGGATTTAAATATGTGAATATTCTCATATTCGTCTTGTACTTTTTCCTTGTAGATATGTTTGTATAGCCCCTTAACTAGTGTTTCTAAACGGGAATCTATTTTGTTTACTGAATCTAATTGAGCAGTTTGTATTATTCCTGACTATATTTGTGTACATGTTGTTTGGTTACATTCAAATATGGGTTCAGTTATATTTCTAGTTTATTAGTTACACCAATAAAAGCATATTGATTAGTTTTTAAGTCTTTTGACATTTATGAAAACAAGATCCATCAAAATCAATGTCCTTATTAAACTCCTTTAAAGACCACATAAAAAGATCTGCTTAAAACAAATTACAACAATAAATCAATATGATACTTATCACTTGAACGTGATGAAAACAAGCCTGATTTGTGTGATGCTATGTTAATGGTGCATTGCTTATTTTTGTCATTAGTATTCAGGTACAGTTCAAGGGTCCGGTTCGGTTTCTCAGATAGGCGCCTGCATTACTACCCTGTACTCTCCTCTGTAATTGAGGTGCCTTGGTGGCCATTACCGTTCTGACAATGGTGTGTAGGCCTACTCGAAGGTTCGATCTTGCTGGGCTTATCCTGTAAGAGACATGGCCTGGGTGATGGTAATTTATGATCAAGGAAAATCCATTTGGAGGCCACCAGCGGTGTGAAACGAGAGCACTTGGTGGTAAACAGCACGTATGATTTGTGACGGAAGCGTTTAAAGCCAGAGGAATACGTGACAGGGCTTCCTGCGAGGAAATGTGTGTTGGTGACGGTAAGTGGGTGTCATTTCTGCTGGGAAATATGTTCCTATGGCGGTTGTAAATGACCCTGGTGTAAATGAACGTGGCAAATAAATGGACGCAGGGCTCGTTAAATGAGAAATGCAATCAGTGTCTCTCAGTACAAGGCTGTCATTCAAGTGATTCATTGAAACACATCTTCCTGAGCACTCTTTTATTATACTAAAACAATATACTGATAAAAAATGAATCTGTAAGTCTGCATTGATTTTTTATTTTAGGAAAGATTGTTCCAGTGCAACCACAGAAACCGAAATTTCTCAGGCCAGCAGCATGTGTCCAAATTTTAATCTCTTAACCGTTCTGTTTGATCAGAAACTATCTTTAACAAATGTAGTCTGAAGAGGGGAACATAGAAATATTACCATGACAGATACTTGTTGCGTGTGACTCAAATCTCTGTATTATGAGTAGGGGGAAGGGAACCATGTGTCTGATAATACCTCTCCATGCTCGCCCACCCCTGCTGGAGTCTTTCAGAAGTACACCAGAACAAATTCATGAACCGATGAAATAACCAATAATAACGATAATATTCTCTTCTCAATACCCACTACATTCTACACTACAAATGTATAATTATATAGGATTAAATGTATAATTACATTGTAACAAACGGATAATTACGATGTAAGAAATGTGTAATTGCATTGTTATAAATGTATAATAACACTGTAATAAAGGTACAATTACATTATATAATAAAAATGTAACTAATGTATAATTACTTTTTTTTTTAAAAAAAAGAATCACTATTTTTTTTTCAAAAAGAATAATGAAACAAAATAACACTGTAAAACATGTATAATTACACTGTAATCACTACTTTTCAAAAAGAATCGCTACTTTTCAAACAAGAATTGCTTCTTTTCAAAAAAAGAATCACTACTTTTTCCAAAAAGAAATGCTACTTTTACAAAAAGAATTGCTATTTTTCAAAAAAAGAACTGCAACTGTTCAAAAAATAATTTCTACTTTTCAAAAAAGAATCTCTAATTTTTCAAAAAGAATCGCTACTTTTCAAAAAAAGAATTGCTACTTTTCAAAAGAATCGCTATGTTTCAAAAAAGAATCACTACTGTTTAAAAAACAATCACTACTTTTCAAAAAAGAATTGCTACTTTTCAAAAGAATCGCTACTTTTGCAGAAAAGAATCACTACTTTTCAAAAAAGAATCGCTACCTTTCAAAAAAGAATCACTACCGTTTAAAAAACAATCGCTACTTTTAAAAAAAAAAAATAATTGCTACTTTTTCCAAAAAAGCACTGCTTTTTAAAAAAAAAAAGAATCGCTATACTTTTCAAAAAAGAATCGCAACTTTTTCCAAAAGAATCGCTACTTTTCAAAAGAATCTCAACTTTTGCAGGAAAGAATCACTACTTTTTAAAAAAGAATCGCTACTTTTTCCAAAAGAATTGCTACTCTTCAAAAAAAGAATCGCTACTTTTTCCAAAAGAATCACTACTTTTCTAAAAAGAATTGCTACTTTTCAAAAAAAGAATTGCTACTTTTTCCAAAAGAATCACTTATCAAAAAAGAATCACTACTTTTTTCAAAAGAATTGCTACTTTTCTAAAGAGAATCGCTACTTTTTTCAAAAGAATCACTACTTTTCAAAAAATAATCACTACTTTTTCCCAAATAAAGGATACATTTCGTCATCATTATCAAAATTAATTAAAATCTGTATGAGTTTCTTTCTTCTGTTGAACACCCAAAAAGATATTTTGAAGAATGTAGGTAACCAGACAGTTGACAAGAAAGAAAATACTAAGTCAACGAGGACCATCGACTGTTTGGTTACTAACATTCTTCGAAATATCTTCTTTTGTGTTCAACAGAAGAAAGAAATTCATACAGGTTTGGAACAACATGAGGGTGAGTAAATGATGAAAGAATATTCCATTTTGGGTGAACTATCCTTTTAACCTATATAGGCTACACAAATAGTAACACTAGAGCTATGCAATTAGGCTCAACTGTTGCACATTGCCAGCTAAAAAGTGCTCAGTATTTTAGACATTTGTTAGATTTTGCAGTGGATGCTGTACAAAATGGTTTATTCCATGCTGATATCTTGAAAATGCTTTGAATAAGGTCAATATCACGGAATGCCAATCAAATTACCATAGTACTGTCACGGTACTTTTTTTGTAAGAATACAATGCTTGTATGATTTCATATAGCTTAAAGAAATTCTCCTTACAAGCTGCTCTAGAACATCTGCACAATTTTCCACTCAAAAGATCATCTACATCTAAAGTCAAGACCATCAGGTAGAGTATATGCTTCATTTAGTAGGTAAAATACATAGAATCAGAGCTTAGCCTATTTGCAGGTTGTCCTTCAAAAGCACTGCACAAATCAAAGTAGGCTAAGTTGCTCTGGGGTAAAGAACGTGGGGTTTAAGAGTCAGCAAAACCATTTCATTCTCTCTGGTCAGCATGTTTCAGGCAGAAAGAGTAATGGCCTTTTGTTACAGATTATACATAGAAAGGTGAAACATCTAAAATTATACACAACCTGAGTCACTGTGGAATTCATTGTCCACACATCAAAATTGAATCTGTCATTGTTTTGTTGATGCAGCCATGTTTGTTATCTTGCGCCATTTTCTAATGTCTTGCCTAAATTATGTACATTGCTATGCTGAGAGCTTTTAGAAAATGCCACGGTTGTGGGAACAGGCATCATAGTTTCAGCTCGCTCGCCAAGAAAGTGGCATTAAAAGCTCTTTCGTTGTTCAAAAGCTCGTGTGAGGTACGGTACGTTGAACCCAGTGGCACATGTGGGGCTCAGATCCTTGAGTCAGCACACAAGATTTGCTGATTCCAGGGAAGGTTTGTATCCAGACCAGGTTTAATTGTTTACTCTGGGAACAGGTGCAGCAACAAACAGCTCCAAACTCATCATGAAGGATTGTCATCAGCACTACAACTGCAGGTGCAAGGCTGTGTTTTGTGTCTTTGTTGTTTTCAGAGATTCTTTTCCCTTGAGTTCAATTACTCCTTTGTCTCACTCAGAGAAAAATTGCGCTAGTCTTTTCTTCCCTATTGCGAATCAGGACGGCTTTTCGAACAAGAAAAAAAATGTAGGGCGGGATTTGATTTTGTCTGTAACGTTTGTCCCACTTTTTGGTTCTGACATCAATCTGACTTTCATTTCCAACTAAAGTCCAATCCAACAACTTTCATTTTCAGCCAAAATTAAAATCATCCACTGACCAGTGTTGTGTTTAACGCGTTACAGTAACATACTTTTTTGGGTAACGCGTTACTACTGACGCGACTGCACCGAAAAAGTCGACAGTGGTACCCCTGTCGGTTTTTTAGTGTCAATATTTTGAGTTTCTCTGATCTTCTTGAAACTCTGGATTCTGATAGAGGGCCATGAGACTTAGACCTGAGTGCAAAAATGGAGGCTCTAGACCCTTCCTGAGTTGAGATATTGAGATCCCACGTAGCATTTTATGCCATTATAAAAATAGTGGGTTCGTGGACGGTGGAATTATGTGATGGCGCTTGGTGCCACATACTCAGGGGGCCTCCCTGAGAGCAGTAAAATAGTTTTCATTCATACAGGAACTTTAATTAAAATGTCCAAAAAATACACTAACCAATTCACCATTCAATAGATTGCAGGCGGGATCTCAATATCTCAGCTCAGGAAGGGCATAGATTTAGCATCTATGCCATTATAAAAATAGTGGGGTCGTGGGATCTCAATATCTCAGCTCTGGAAGGGGCTAGAGCCTCAATTTTTGCACTCAGATCTAAGTCTCATGGCCCTCTATCAGAATCCAGAGTTTCAAGAAGATCAGAAAAACTTTTTTTTTTTGCACCGAAAAAGTCGTCAGGGCCTTGTCGTTCTTTTCGTGTTGAAATTTTGTGTTTCCCTGTTGAGTTACTGTGTAAGAGGAGAAATAGACTCAGCCCCAACACTGTGAAACAGCTTTTATTTCTAAAACAAAAATAATTAAAAACTTTGTCACCTTTCTGTCATTCCGACAGTTACAGATACAAGCACTATCACTGCCAAGTGTCATACATTTAAAAACAGATGATCCTATCAGACAGTGTTCTTATTCATTATGTGTGTGTGTGTGTGTGTGTGTGTGTACAGAGAGAGAGAGAGAGAGAGAGAGAGAGAGAGTAGGCCTACATTAAATCTTATTGAATCATAAAAGCTTGTAGTATATTTTATTGTCACACTTTAATGAGGAAATTAATTTATTAAATGAACAAATCAAACATAAACATGTAAGGTTGTTATTTGTACACATAACATTGAAACACTGTAGTGTGTTGTTGCTTTGTGTTGTTGGGGCCCCCCTGAGTGCAGTAAAATAGTTTTTATTATGACAGGAACTTTAATTAAAATGTCCAAAAATTACAACCCAAATGCCCATTCAATAGATTGCAAGCGGGCTACATGGGATCTCAATATCTCAGCTCAGGAAGGGGCTAGAGCCTCAATTTTTGCACTCAGGTCTAAGTCTCATGGCCATCTATCAGAATCCAGAGTTTCAAGAAGATCAGAGCAACTCAAAATTGTCGGGTTTTTTTTGGTGCGAAAAAATAAGTTTCTCCAATCTTTTTGAAACTCTGGATTCTGATAGAGGGCCATGAGACTTAGACCTGAGTGCAAAAATGGAGGCTCTAGACCCTTCCAGAGCTGAGATATTGAGATCCCACGTAGAGCCTCCATTTTTGCACTCAGGTCTAAGTCCCATGGCCCTCTATCAGAATCCAGAGTTTCAAGAAGATCAGAGAAACTCAATATTTTGACCCGAAAAAAAAAAAATGACAGTGGTTCCCCTTTCATTTTTTTTTTGTGCGAAAAAATACGTTTTTCCAATCTTCTTGAAACTCTGGATTCTGATGGAGGGCCATGGGACTTAGACCTGAGTGCAAAAATGGAGGGTCTAGACCCTTCCAGAGCTGAGATATTGAGATATTTATAATAGCATAAATGCTACATGGGATCTCAATATCTCAGCTCTGGAAGGGTCTAGAGCCTCCATTTTTGCACTCAGGTCTAAGTCTCATGGCCCTCTATCAGAATCCAGAGTTTCAAGAAGATCAGAGCAACTCAAAATTTCGACCCGAAAAAAAAAAAAAAACGACAGTGGTACCCCTTTCATTTTTTTTTTTTGTGATAAAAAATAAGTTTCTCCAATCTTCTTGAAACTCTGGATTCTAATAGAGGGCAACGAGACTTAGACATGAGTGCAAAAATGGAGGCTCTAGACCCTTCCAGAGCTGAGATATTGACATCCCACATAGCATTTATGCCATTATAAATATCTCAATATCTCAGCTCTGGAAGGGTCTAGAGCCTCCATTTTTGCACTCAGGTCTAAGTCTCATGGCCCTCTATCAGAATCCAGACTTTCAAGAAGATCAGAGCAACTCAAAATTTCGACCCGAAAAATAAAACGACATACCCCTTTTGTTTTTTTTTTTGTTTGTTTTTTTGTTTGAAAAAAAAAGTTTCTCCAATCTTCTTGAAACTCTGGATTCTGATAGAGGGCCATGAGACTTAGATTCTGATTACTTCAAATCAACAATCAAATATGTATCTTAAAGGTATACCGGAGGATTTTCTTTTTCCGGGTGGGTAGTCTATACTATTGGTCCACCTAAGTGTCAATCATTCTGGTGATATGTTTACGTAAGGCCGTCGTAGGCTACGTGCTCATCCCTATGTAGTTTTCACTTTCAGGTGTATTATGTCGGAGTTACGGTTTCAGCCATTCCTTTGAAAATGGCTGAAGGTCGAAAGAGAAAAAATGTTTACGAAGTGTATGATAAGAAGAGAAAGGCCGCAGAATATAGAAACAAGACGAGAGTGATTTTGGGTTAATCTCACATGCTGGCGTGCGCTAAAATCACAGGTTGGGCTTCTCACTGATGCCGCAGTCGTGAAGATTCTACTACACAGGTAAAATCCATTTAAAATCACTAGTAAAAGTTAATGCAAGCTACAATGCTAGCCCTGGCACGAGTCATGCACCGCCTAGACACGGTAAACATCTCAATTTGTCTAAAGTAAAACCTTGTGTGTTTATTATTACACAAATGCAACAAGCTACTTCTCCATATGCAACTATGTATAAAAATAACGTATTAACAATGAGAGATATTAGGTTAAGGACCAACGTAATAGCACTGCTTATATGTTGCTATGTAACGTAATTGCGATTTGCAAAATAGTTTCCTCAGAACGTATTTCGCGTGATACAGGGTTGCACATATCATGTCTTGAGTCCTCGGTCACTCAATCGATCAGTATAATAAGTAAATAAAACACGGAAGGGCATTTGACACGTTGTCTTTTTTATGAATGTTTTTGAGTTAGTTTAGAATTTGCAACATAATTGTGTAAGGCGTAAAAGACGTTCCCTCTCGGGAGCAAGAGTGTTGTGTTTGTGCGTGTGCATTTTTTTTTTTAAATTGGAGAGGGCGGGTCTTCTCTAAAATTCGGAAAGATCCTCCGCTATACCTTTAATCAATTCTTTATTCATTTTCTTTCAGGTGCATTCCAGTGTGTGCCCTTGGGTTGTGTTCACATTCACATGCAAGGGGCCATCTGAGGATTATTGTCTTGAGATTCAGAGAGTGGCGAGAGAGAGAGAGAGACATACATACATTTAGTCTTTTACAGCCAATTAGTCAAACACAAAATCTTGAACTGTCATTATTTCTAGAAGAGCCATTAGGACTTTTGCATATAAAAGACTTTGTCCCTTTGTCCTCTTTTTCTGGACCTTGGCTTTACGTCATCACTATATCTTCTGTATCTCACTTTTAATTGGTCACAATTGTGGCTTATTATGCCCCATAAATACTTCATATTCCAAAAGCCATGATTAGAATATAAGAATTGAATATTTCATAACAATATCCACATATGAAGAGTTCAGATGCAAAAGCCTCTAAATGCCATTTGAAATTTTCTTCTTTAATGACGATTTTTATCAAACTTGTATATTTAAGTTCAGTAATTTCACTTAAATGGCAATGATAATTATCTATTAATTGTTATTTAAGTGAAATTACTGAACTTAAATATACAAGTTTGATAAAAATCATCATTAAAGAAGAAAATTTCAAATGGCATTTAGAGGCTTTTGCATCTGAACTCTTCATATCTTGTCTTAGTTGACTTGTATAAGTTTGAAGGTCAATTATACATATTTCACCTTATTTTCATTAAGTGAACAAGTCATGTGTATTTCTTTAGGGAGTGGAGTAAAGGGGCATAATATTATCATTCTTGCTTTCCTGGACATTTTTATCATCCTGTTAAGGTGGACTCTTCTGATATTGAGCTCAGGCCTTCTTCAGCCTCGAAGAGAATTGTTGTTTGTCAGTGTTCTGTGTGTGTTCAGTGTTCAGTGTGACCTGAGTGTAAAAATGGAGGCTCTAGACTCTTCCAGAGGTGAGATATTGACATCCCACATAGCATTTATGCCATTATAAATATCTCAATATCTCAGCTCTGAAAGGGTTTAGAGCCTCCATTTTTGCAGTCAGGTCTAAGTCTCATGGCCCTCTATCAGAATCCAGAGTTTTGGGTAGATTGGAGAAACTTGATTTTTCGCCCGAAAAAAAAAACGTAAGGGGTACCATTGTCGGTTTTTTTCGGGCCGAATTTTTGAGTTTCGATATCTCAGCTCTGGAAGGG